ATTTTCAGCAGAAAATTGCTCAAACTTAGTCAGAATCATCTTGGGTAAATGAGAGTTTTACTTTGTAAAATTAGGATTCCTGCCCCATCCCCAGGGGCTAGAGCGGGGCCCCAAAGGGAACATTTACCAATATTTTCAAATTCTTATCCATTGATGACATGACAAGTATTGTATTTCACTTAGTTTACATGCTGATTTCCACATCACATCTAAACAATAAAATAAAGCTACCAGTATCTATGATATAACTCAGGTGACCGCTAAGGCCCTTGGGCCTCTTGTTAAATTTTTGTATTTCTTTGTACTCGAAGTATTGCTTTCTTAAAAATGAAAATAAATAGCTGTCAAATGAAAATAATTGATGCATAGATCATAGTATGTACATGTAGATTATTTACCATAATTAGCACCCATGGTGCTTAAAAGATTGGCTTAAAAGGGTGTGTTTGTTTATAAGGATAATAGATAAATGTGAGTTATGATGGACAAAACTGTTGTTAACACCAAAGGTTATTATCATCATACCAGTGTGGCTTGAGGTTTTGGAAATCCAATGTTTCGTCCGCTTCACGGGAAGCCACGCCATGATCATCTGACATAAATCTCTGCTGTTACTCATTCACCCCTACATATTTTAACTGGACTTGCCCATGAGACTTTAATTTGGTATGGTTCGAATGTGACTTTAGGGGTGAATGGATTCAAGTGTTAGTATGTGCTATAAATCATTGACTTTGTCTGGTCTGGGAGGGAGTCTCTATACAAATGTAGTTTCAATTCCTCTCGAAAACAGGGGGAGAGACACTAACTGTGGAGAACATTATATATGCATACATACATAGTCACCGTGAAACATGGCCATAACAAATAAACCCGAGATGGAATTATGAAATCAATTGATTAAATAAAGGTTTCATGTGAATAAAACAATTCCTTGCCACAGTGGCCAAGTAGTTAAGGTATCACTAGCCCTCCACCACTGGGTCACGGGTTCGAGGCCTGCTAGGGGCAATCACCAAGTACTGGCCGTAGGTCGGTGGTTTTTCTCTGGGAACTCCAGCTTTCCTCCACCAACAAAACCTGGTACGTCCTTTAAATGACCATAGTTGTAAATAGGACATAAAACATAAACAAACCAAAACTTGGTCAGGTCGCATCAAATTTGTGTGTTTGTTGTGTAGACTGTCTTTGAAATCCAAGGTTTCTACTTTTGATATTCTCTAAACCCCTGGTTATGTCATGACAAAATTGAAGGCTCTGTTTATGCGCCACCTTGTGGATGATACAAGGAGACACATTTGATTCTTTGATGTTGTATATTAAAAGAATCACGCAGCACCATAAGGGTAAAATTGACCAGCTTCGAAGTCAGGTGTTACACCTCTGAAATATGCAAGACACAGGCATCAGCCTAGTGGTTGGTCAGTCGTATGCACTTGAAACTAATAAAATAGCTACAAATGTAACTGTGTAACTTTCATTTTGTCATAATTAACATATTTCAGGGATGCAGAGAATATATGACGTATCAAAAGTGGAACTCTTGGATTATAAAGGTGGTGGTAGCTGTGTTTTACCGTATTTGTTTTTATTGTGTGTGTGTAGACATAAGTACTGTGAAATCACAAATTTTTGTGGAGTTTTTAATTTCGTGGGTACTCATTCACAAATTTATAGGTCCACAAAGTAATTACAGTATTTTCTCTGTATGAGTGAGTGATTATGATTCAGGAATTCATCTACCAACGAAATGTTTATTGTAGGGGGAAACCACAATTTTTTTTTGGGGGGGAACCACGAAATTTTCGCTCAACAAAAATATTTGATTTCCCAGTAACAAAAGAATGAGATCAACAAAAGTACAATTATCATATGACATCGTCCTGATCAGAATAATGTCTGTTTTGTTTTTCCAGGTTTAAAGATAGTCGGTGGACAGGGAACTGAACAAGGGCAATTTGGTGCTTTCATTACTAAAGTCAAAAAGGGTAGCATAGCCGATACAGTGGGTCACCTACGCCCAGGTTAGCGCTGAGGCCATTTGTCGATGGGTCAAATTCTCCCCTTGATATCGCCTTCCTTTATAATTTTATATCTCTCTTTCTCTTTCTGTTCTTCTTACCAAACTGTCAGATTTATTCCCTGTTTTGGTAAATATCGGGATTGATAGAAATATTCTTAAAGTCTGAATCCTAAAAAGCAGGGTCGCAAAATCCAATTCAATATAATAACAGTATCTGAAACAAGGATCATTAAAATATCAATGTATTGAAAATTAGGATACTGATTAACTAGCTATATGATACTAAAACATAAAGATTCTAAAATAGGGTCGCAAAATCCAATTCCATATAATAACAGTATCTGAAACAAGGATCATTAAAAAATTGATGTATTTAAAACAAGGATACTGATTAACTTGTTATATAATACAAAAGCATAAAGATTCTCAAAAAAAAGGGTCGCTAAATCCAATTTAGTATAATAACTATCTGAAACAAGGATCATTAAAAAAAATGGTGTATTGAAAACAAGGATACTGATTAACTTGTTATATGATACTAAAACATAAAGATTATCAAAACAAAAAGGGTTGCAAAATCCAATTTAGTATAATAACAGTATCTGAAACAAGGATCATTAAAAAAATGATGTATTGAAAACAAGGATACTGATTAACTAGCTATATAATACTAAAACATAAAGATTCTAAAATAGGGTTGCAAAATCCAATTCCATATAATAACAGTATCTAACACAAGGATCATTAAAAAATGATGTATTGAAAACAAGGATACTGATTAACTTACTATATGATACTAAAAAATAAGGATTCTAAAAACCAGGATTTTCGAAACTTTAGTGACACTAACAGACCATGGTTTTAAAAATCAGGGTTCTTGATACAAGGATCCAAAAGATAGGCTCCTTAAATTCAGTACCCCTTATTTAATAGTCCCAATTTGACAATAAACAAAGGATTATTTTTGTCAAATATGAATGAAGACTGGCCTTGACATTGCCGTCTTTCTAAGATTATGGACCTTGCAAATCAACGATCTTTTTGTGTTAAAAATAGTAATAATATCTGAAATTATTTGTAGCGCTGTAAAAAGCGCAAATTGCACCGCTATCTGGAAAAAATTGTAACAACCGGACTGCGACTCACAAATATTGAAAATTGCGATCTTATAAATAAGACAGAATTTGATTCTTTTAATATAAGTGACACAACACAGACTATTAAGACATTTAACTTTAAATATAGATATTAGATTTCAACATTTCTTTGTCAATTAAATTTCCCAAGCCTGTACTCTTAAAATAACCAAGGAACATTTTAACGTTCTAGTACAGGTAAATGTTTCAATTCAATTTTTAACTTGTGAATTTCAGTCTTTTTGTAAGGATTGGGCCTTGATTATACTTTGAAACAGCGAGAAATTTGACCCAAAAAAGTTCAATTCAGGAAAAGAATAATATTAGCGTGTTTTATCAGGGAAAAATTCTTGACTTCGCCATAGTTCGACACTTCAAGAAATTAGAATCTTCAGAGTTTGATTTATGGAAGTTTGACTGTAAAAGATTTTGAAGAATTTTAGCTATAAGGAGCTAAAGCTTGGACCGTTCAAAAACCTTTGTTAATAAGCCTTACGTGCCATACGGTCTAAAAAGCTACGAAAGCGAGGTGTGACCTTGAAAAAAGGTCGGGTCTAAAAATAAGCCTATGATTCCTAATACTAAAAGCAAAAATAAAGCTGCAGCATATTGTCGACATTTTAGGATATATGACTTCGTTAATATGTTGTTTGGATTTTGGTTCCTGTCAACATCAAACCTATCTCCTTGCGTCTCCTCCTCTTTCTATCATTCTAAACTTAATTTATGTCATTGTGCATATTTCAATTGCAACTTAAAAAAATGTTCCTGGAATTAAAGGAACTTTATTTGTGAACTTTTGCCTTTGACCTTTAACAGGTGATGAGGTGATTGAGTGGAATGGGCGTGGCCTCCAGAGGGCAACCTTTGAAGAGGTCAAGGACATAATTCTAGAATCAAAACAGGAACCACAAGTGGAACTTATTGTACATAGAAGTGTTAGGTAAGTGTTGTATTTTGGTGAGTGTAAAGTTGGTGACCATATTTCTCCCGGTCAGTAAGTCAACAATTTCTACGTGAACCTTAATCACAGGAGCTTCAATGTGTTAAAAGATGACTAGCTGGGGATTATTGGCCGACACAGCAGTGACTTAATTTCTCTCAGTCGATATCTATTTCTTGGATGCATATTATACAATTATGGACTTCTGAGTTTTAGTCTATCCCTGATTTACGGACCTGGTTTGAACAACATTCACAGAGGCCGAAGGGTGAGGTGAATATTTTTCAGACCTGGTCCGTAAATCAGGGATAGACCGAAACTGAAGTCCGCAATTGTTTTATTATATGAAATTTTACAATTAGATTAATAATTTTTCAAGTCATAAACACATGGATGGCATGGACCATTTTGGAATCACAGAGTGAAGGACTTCAAATACAAAATAGCATATACTCACAAATTTCATTTCAGATTCAACTCATGTGATATTTAAGTTCAAGTAAATATTATTTGCACAATCGACATCATCAAATTTCACATAGATCAGAATTTGATGAGATAATTCATGTTTAGTTGAATTCAGTAGTGTGATTGGTACCGAGAATGACAGACTGGCTGGGAAATTACCTACGCCTATTTTTAGTAGCGGTCTGTAACACTTTTAAGGTCACCTGAGCTTTAGCTCAAGTGACCTATTGCTATCCCTTTTCGTCCGTCGTCGTACGTCGTCCGTCGTCCATCGTCCGTTGTCTGTTAACATTTTACATTTCAAACTTAAAGTCAAGTTCTGCTGGGCAGATTGAACTGAAAGTTGGTAGGAATGATCGACTCATGGTCCTGACAAAGTGTTGTTATTTTTCAGGTCAATCAGAAATCCAATATGGCCACCACAGCCGCTATTTTGTAAATACCTATTCTAAACTTAAAAACAATTTCTAATAGGCCGATCTTATTTAAAATCGGTCTAGGAATGATCAGCTCATGGTCCTGACAAAGTTAAGTTAACATTATACTTAACTATTTTTTACTCAAATTGGTACATATTTCAACAACAAAAATAAATACTGTAGGACTCAGGTGACCGTTAAGGCCCATGGGCCTCTTGTCTAATTATAGGTCGAGGTCTGTAACACTTTTCTATTGATAGAACGAGGTCTGTGACATATTTACAGATTCGTCACATGACGTCGCTCCTCTAATCAGGGCTGGGAATTAGCACCAGTCATATAATATAACCACTTATTTACCTCAGCAGAAGTCTATAATTGATACCTATCATCGACTATTATGTTATGTCTGCATGTGAAATAATTTTTGAACTCATTTTGAATCTCGTGATACAATGTATGTTTATTTTATATTCAATTTTAAATAATTTTTTAAAATATCATCAATTGAAACTATATAAAATAACTTTTGGTTAATATGCAAATGAAGCTTGTGGTAACTGAGTTATGTTATTTAATAATAATACAATCCTATTATAATAAATAGTTACAGGCATAGAGCCAACAGCGTTTCTTTCAATCAGGTTTGTTTGGTTCCGTTAGTTCTTGAAATTAAATAAAAGGAATCCTATTATGTGATATCCCCCCTTTTTTCAGTTCGGGAGAAATTCCACCTGGCGTGCAACCAACAGTGGACCATTCTCTTGGTCGTGATGGCCACAGTAATCGTGACTATACCCACAACAGAGAGCATAGGGACCACCGTGACCGTGACCATAGGGACAGAGGTAATGTATTCAGGTCAAGGTCGGTTAAATTATTGATACCAAAGAAACAGATTTACTGATGTAAATTATCTCTAGATCACAAGGTCAGTTGAACCATAGGTCACTTTGCGGACAGATGTAAGGTCCAGGTTGGTCAAACTGCTGGTCACTTTGCAGACAGATGTAAGGTCCAGGTCGGTAAAACTGCTGGTCACTTTGCAGACAGATATAAGGTCCAGGTCGGTAAAACTGCTGGTCACTTTGCGGAGAGATGTAAGGTCCAGGTTGGTTAAACTGCTGGTCACTTTACAGACAGATGTAAGGTCCAGGTCGGTAAAACTGCTGGTCACTTTGCGGACAGATGTAAGGTCCAGGTCGGTAAAACTGCTGGTCACTTTGCGGAGAGATGTAAGGTCCAGGTCGGTAAAACTGCTGGTCACTTTGCGGAGAGATGTAAGGTCCAGGTCGGTAAAACTGCTGGTCACTTTGCGGAGAGATGTAAGGTCCAGGTCGGTAAAACTGCTGGTCACTTTGCGGAGAGATGTAAGGTCCAGGTCGGTAAAACTGCTGGTCACTTTGCGGAGAGATGTAAGGTCCAGGTCGGTAAAACTGCTGGTCACTTTGCGGAGAGATGTAAGGTCCAGGTCGGTAAAACTGCTGGTCACTTTGCGGAGAGATGTAAGGTCCAGGTCGGTAAAACTGCTGGTCACTTTGCGGAGAGATGTAAGGTCCAGGTCGGTAAAACTGCTGGTCACTTTGCGGAGAGATGTAAGGTCCAGGTCGGTAAAACTGCTGGTCACTTTGCGGAGAGATGTAAGGTCCAGGTCGGTAAAACTGCTGGTCACTTTGCGGAGAGATGTAAGGTCCAGGTCGGTAAAACTGCTGGTCACTTTGCGGAGAGATGTAAGGTCCAGGTCGGTAAAACTGCTGGTCACTTTGCGGAGAGATGTAAGGTCCAGGTCGGTAAAACTGCTGGTCACTTTGCGGAGAGATGTAAGGTCCAGGTCGGTAAAACTGCTGGTCACTTTGCGGAGAGATGTAAGGTCCAGGTCGGTAAAACTGCTGGTCACTTTGCGGAGAGATGTAAGGTCCAGGTCGGTAAAACTGCTGGTCACTTTGCGGAGAGATGTAAGGTCCAGGTCGGTAAAACTGCTGGTCACTTTGCGGACAGATGTAAGGTCCAGGTCGGTTTAGCTGCTGGTCACTTTGCGGACAGATGTAAGGTCCAGGTCGGTTAAACTGCTGGTCACTTTAGGTATAAAAAAGGTTCGGTCTATAGAAATACTAAATCAGGAAGTAAGGAAGCACAATTTAAAATGTTTTAGTTTATAAATTAACAAAGCCAAACAAAATCACTCAAGGGGGTTGGAGAGAGTAATTTCTACCACCCTTCATGGGTATCTCCCCTTTTGGACGGGAAAGGTCAGTTTGTCACCCCCTAGGTGGAGATAGCCTCGTGCCGATTAGCACAGGTTCAATTGTGACATCATTAAAATGTGTCACCGGTAATTGTAACGTCATCAAAAGTGAATGACGATATTCATACCCCACATGTGTTTTTGTTAACAAACATGGCAGACTACTGTTGGTGGAGTTGTGACTGAAATAATAGGATGGGATAAAAATAATCTTCCCCTTCCTTGAGGGTGTAACTGAGAAATCTCCCAACCCTCAGGGTGATATTTTTGGTTGTCTTATACTCGGTAGAGACTCGGGTTAGACCACCAAAACCATCACCCCTCTGGTAGATTTTCTCTGTCACACCCTCAAGGTAGGGGAAGATTCTATTAATCCAAACGGAGGTTACAGGTAAAAGGAGGTTACTGTGTATTTAAAACAATCAAAAGTGCAGTAAAACAACATTGAGTAAGGCCAATGTGAAATTGACAACAAACTTAATCGGGAAAACCAGTTGTTATTTTCAAAAAGGAACAATATAAGAAATGAGTATCTGTTCATTATTTGAACTATGTTCTGAAGTAAAGAGTACCAACAAATTAAATTAAATTATTACCATTTTCACTATTCAATGTTTGTTTAAGTCCTTTTTAAAAACGTATTCCTTAAATAGCACATGTTGTGATGCATTTTGCAGAATTTGTTTGAAATTTGAATGTTTGAAAATAGAAATGAAAAAACAAAAATCTGCAGTGGTCGAACTAGACTCCCGTTATACAGTCGAACCTATACTACTTAACAGTGTTGCCATACAGGAATTATAAATAAACAGCACTGAAATGAGACAAATTATGGGCAAAAAGTGTTTGAAATTTAAAGATGCAAACCTGACCAGGGAAGTTACTCTAAAAACTCTCTCTCTTTGCCTCATCATCTATATGTATACGAGACTACTCCGACGTCTAAAACACTCGGAGTAGAACTCTTCTTTACAATTATAACTAATGCAGTGGTACCCTTAATCTAAAATACCAATGATTTTGTTTCAGATTACCGACATAGTAAGGATACACTTAGTACTGGTCACCACTCGAGTAGACCAAGCGTGATGGTTACCTCCCCTGGCTCCTCAGTAGAACCACGATCACGAGCTAGTTCACCTCCAATTTCAGGGAAAATACAGGTTCGACTCTTTTTTCTGTTTTTGTCACATGCGTTTGGTAAAGCAGGTGTCTAGGGGAACAAACATTCTACAAAGTTTTCTTAACATGAAATTGCACATTTGACAGGAGCGACATCTATTTCCTTATATGGTATCTGATATTTCCTTATATGGAAACTCATTCATTTTTTATTTTTTTTTCTATTGTCTCTCTGTAAAAGTTTTTCTATTGTAAAATCTACTTAATTGATTATTTAACTTTAAATAACAGGTTCATTTAGTTCCCAGCTTGATTTAAAATGTTCAAATACACATGTAGAGGGCATTATGTGTGTTTGGAAATTTTCATTGCGGTTTGACCTTGGCCTTTTTCTGCCCTCCCTAATGAGGGCAAATTGATCTAATTTGGATGATAAACAGTTTTATTTAATTCTAAATTTGACTTAAAATGTTCAAATACAATTGGAGAGGGCACACATGATAAACAGCTAATTTCTTGTATTCAGACTATATTTGAGAAGTTCATATAGTGAGGTTGTTTTACAGTTTACATAAAATAATAGTGTTTGAAACTGGTCCTTTAACACAGGTGGTCTCTTTATACAGTTGGTTTCTCAAACGGGATACATTTTACATTTGTTTTTTAATGAATTTATTTTCAGGTGAAAATATGGTATAATTCTAAGGGCAATGAGTTGATCATCACAATCATCAGTGCTCTAGACCTTCCTCTGACGGACAAGAGCAAATTCCGCAACCCATACTGCAAGCTATATCTGCTACCAGATCGCAGGTAAAATATTAGCCGAAACGCAATGAATGAAAATTGCTCGTAAAATTGTAAATCTTTTGTTGAAATACCTGGAATATGTACATGTACGTCCCATTGTACGGTCAACATTGCATGGTTCTGGTAAACAGGGTCAAATAAGGTAGTAAGGAAAGAAACTTCTTGAATTCAAAATCAGAATAATAATAAAGGAAGTGACTTATTCAATACAAAAACAAAGGTATACTAAGGGAAGTAACTTGTTCAATACAAAGTCACAGATATGATATGGGGAGTATCTTTTTGATAAAAAAATTCACAGGTGTGATAATGGGAGAAACTTATCAATACACAATCATAGGTAGAATAAGGGAGGCAACGCCATTGATACAAAATCCCTGGTATAATAAGGGCAATAAGTCATGAAACTATTAAGAAAAAATCACAGATATGATAATGAAGAAAATGTTTTCATACAAAATCACAGGTTTAATTAGGAAAGTAATTTTTATACGAAATCATAGGTATCAAATTAACCCCTTTAATACAAAATCACAGAATAATGTGTAATGTAGCATCAGTGACATGGCGTTTGGGTTGAGCATCTCCATTGTTTGTGTGGACAGGTTGTTGTTTATAATGTGACTGTATATATGTTCTTAGTGATGTAGTCATTTGTGATCTCATTACAGTGAATTCCTCTTTATGTCATGGGATGTTTTAGAAGTAGAAGAAGAAAAGGATATTAAGCAATACATGATATTAACAGAAACAATATTTTATGATAAAAATTATATAAATACCGAGTTAATGTTTGTGTACTTATGTGCGGCTAATTTCAGAAGTAAGATTATATTTACCTTAAATGTAACCCCATTTGTCATAACACAATAAATCAAGGTCAGTGAGAACAACTCTTCCAGAGTTGATTGATCTATATTGTTTCAAAACATTGTCAGGACAATCAAATAGACACAAATTATACATTCTTTATAAAAAGGCATTATTGGGATTGTCATAAGAGTTAAGGTAAACTGTGACTTGCACCGGTTATAAAATTAATTATTGTAAATTGGAATTCATTGTATATGTTTTCATTATCAACCTGATTAGTGATATTGTATCTTTTTCAAAGTTTCAGTTCTGTTTTATTTTATTTCCAGAGCCTTTATGTTCATGTATGTTTAATAAAATATTTCTCCAAATACAACGTAAGTTCAACATAATACAAATAGTTACAATGGAAACATGCATGATTGATGAGGACATGACAACTCTAAGAATTCAACGTGACAGGTGATCAAGACGTGTGATGTATCTTTAGACTTCTTAAGCAAGATACTCGACCTGTGTTATAGAAATTGGAAAAATTCAATTAACTTTCTGTGCAGGGTTAATTTCAGCAGCAAGTAAATATCTTTAAATGCCATGATAACGCAAGGATTATTTGTTATCCCGATAACACAGGTACCTACGAAACTTTGCCGAGCGTCATCGGGAAGTGGCATTTGAACCGTGGTAAAAATTGCACGAAATTTTGCACATACTTTATTCTAAGGCCTTGTTTAGACTCAATCAATCATAACGACTTTTGTAGAATTTCGTAGTTTATTTTTCATAACATTGGTATTGATTGTGGGAATTATTAATTCAAAACAAATTATAAAATAACGGCTTAACATATTTTTTTTTCGCTATTTTATACAACTAGAAATATTTTTCTTTCAAATATTGATTTTACGCTGGTACTCAAATGAAAGACACAATATAACACTAATTATACTAAGAATATTGTTTTCAATTTGATTGGGCAAAGAGACATTGCAAACGTTATTTAAGAATATTGGACAAAGTGCATACTAAAGTATAAATAATTGTATTACAATATATATGATATCTTAATCAGTGTATATAGGTATATTGTAATATTGAATATATCGTGGGAAGTATACAGATATATTTGTTTTTCATCTATTTTACAGATAGAAGATAGAGTAATGAACTTTATTCATGTATCATAGGAAGAGTAAGGGTTATTTATCGTATCGTGGGTGGTGTATAAAACGAAATGTAAAGAAATACATTATATTCTGTGTATTGTAGAAATCATCGGAACAGTAAGGGTTATTTATGGTATTGTGGGTAATATATATATATTAATCGCGGGAAGCGTAAAGAGATACATATTTTATCAACGATTTTATATATATCGTAGGAAGTGTAAGGGTTATTTGTTGTATCAATGGTAATCTATATATAAATCGTGGAAGCGTAAAAAAGGCATATTATATTCTGGGTATTGTACATATCATAGGAAGTACTAGTGTAAGGTTATTTGGTGTACATGTACTTTTATATAAATCTTTTTTGGAGGTGTAAAGAGATAATCGTCATATTATATCCTGGGTATTGTGTTTATCATAGGGACCGAAGGTTTATGGGTAATATATTTCATAAGGAAGTATACAGGGATATGAAGTATATCACGAATAGAGTACTGTATTCACTTAATTACCACTGCTGTAGACAATTATATATTTGCACCTGATGTGATATGTTGTGTTCACTTTAACATGCTAAATAATGATAACCCAGCACTGTAGTACAATATTTAAATGTCTTCAGTATTCGTTTAAATAATCTTTTCAAAGGGTAATATATTTTAATAATTTTTTTTTGCAATTGAAAATTTAATAAATATCATTACTTGACAATAGTTAAACGGATTTAAAAAAAGAATCAACTAAAAAATCTAAAAATTTCATGACTTTTTTTAACAATATTACTAATATTAATCTCTTTGTTACATTTGTTTCATAACAAAACTATCAGAGGAAAGGGTTTCGATACATATATAAACACTCCTTAACTTATTCCCCCCTGAAGACACAGTTTAACTCTTGAAATTCAAAGGTTAGAATAGTTTATTACAAAATTTCAGGGATGACAGAGTTGACCATAGTAATTGACCGCACAATACAATTGTTTTCTTATGCAGAAAATTTGTTCATGTTGTTGATAACTTATATGCTGTATGCTGGTATAAAGTTAAAACATATCTATTTTATTCCCCAATTTAACATCCAATCTGGTATTTAGTTATTGTTTGATACGTTAAGTGTTTGATATTATTTGCCAGCTTGAGACGTAGATTATTTTCTTACAAAAATCACAGCAATTTCTTTGGAGATTGTGTTGTAGTTAATGTGTTGTGTGGAATCCGAATGGCTTAATATTGCTACAGATTTTTTTTTATTTCATTCGTACAATGCTACTGAAATGGCTGACCGAAAAATAATAAAAACAAGGAAAAAAAACTTAAATATTGATGAAAACATTTTAACATTAATTTGTTGAAGATTTTCTCAGATGTTCCTTGGCTTATGTTAACATTTGTTTCAGTAACATAACATAGATTTTCTCTAAAAAGAAATTTAAGTTAAGGAGACATTGTTACTTAGATACTTCATGAAACTAAAGTAGGGATATTTCTAAGGCATATGTCTCCAAGCACTGGCAGCAGGTCGGTGTTTATTTTTCGGGTAATCAAGTTTTCCTCCACCAACAAAACCTGGTTTGTCCTTAAATGACCACAGCTGTTAAAAGGTCGTAAAGCAAAAACAAACCAAATCAAAGAACACTATTCTTTGTGGTTATTTTGCATTTCCAGAAATTTAATTGTTTGTTTGTGTTTGAGGAAGTATGATTTGATAACAAAATGAATAGCAGTGCTGGAAAATTTAAGGGACTATTAGAAAAATAAATGTTTTATACGATGCCAGTTTTTTTCTGTATAATTAAAAAAGAATCCTTTAATCATGTCTCGGTTTGGAGCAGCTAGCTGACATGTATGAAAAAAAAGGACGGAATTTGGATTCTTTACCAAAAAATCTGATTTTAAAACAGCTAACACATTTGAAAGGTTGGAATTTGGATTTTTTTCTTCAGTTTTTAACCTTTACAATAATTTTCTTAGTTTGGAACGGCTAACACATTTGAAAGGTTAGAATATGGATTGATTTTCTTCATTTTTCAACCTTTACAAAAAATACAGAACTTGTGTAGTATTTGTCCTAGTCTACCAGGTATGCTCTTTATGAGTAGTATTTGTCCTAGTCTACCAGGTAGGCTCTTTATGAGTAGCATTTGTCCTAGTCTACCAGGTAGGCTCTTTATGTGTAGTATTTGTCCTAGTCTACCAGGTAGGCTCTTTATGAGTAGTATTTGTCCTAGTCTACCAGGTATGCTCTTTATGAGTAGTATTTTTTATAATGAAAATTCCATAGATTAAATCTTATGGAAATACATTTTTAAACCATTATAGCATCTGTATAAAAATCTTGACAATCATAGGTTATTTTTTATCAGATGTTGGAAAATGAATAAAGTTTAATAATTGTCTTGCAAAGGATTATGTTTGGTGCAGTCCCCAATACCCATCAAATGTATAAACCTTTACTTCAAAAAGACAAATTAATTTTGGTCTGTATCAGTGAAGTATTCAAATTTTCAAAATCAGTGATTTAAAAATTTAATTGAAGCTTGAAATTTTGGTAGAGATGGGGTCTAAAATGCCCCAAACCATTAATAGCCTCTTGAAAATCTTGCTGGTTGAGTCAGGGCATACACCTTAACTGTATTTAAAAAAAAAAAAAAAAGCAAGTTTAAAGCATTTAATGCAAGTTGTTGTCTTTTTCTTTTTGCATAGATAAAGACATTTTCTTTTAGGGTGAATATGATATAATTATAGTTAGGATTGAAATTATATTATCAAAAATTTCCATACAAGTTCTGAAAATTTGTAAAAATTATCTTGTTCCAGCTTTATAACAGTATAATTGTAACACTGATAAATGTTTCCTCAGTTTTTGTGTACATTTGTATCATTTCAGTGACAAAAGCAAGCGCCGTACAAAGACACTTTCAAACACCAATGACCCAACGTGGAACCAGACATTCATGTTTTACCCGATAACGGAGTCGGACTTCCGGACACGTGTCCTCGAGATCACAGTCTGGGATTACGATCGAATAGGAGCCAGTGAATTTCTAGGGGAGGTAATTATATCTTTTATAATATTCGATCTATGTTTTCTGTCATTAATCAGGAAACTTATGATCTACAGAGAAGCAATGACAATTAAAGAATCATATAACACAACCATGATTGCTTATATGTCCAGGTGAGCGATTCAGGCCCTCTGGGCCTCTTGTTTAGTGTAAGTTTATTTGTGATGCTTTGATTACTAGGCCATACTTTGTGTACTTTGTCACATTCAGCAGACAAAGAAAAAATTATATACAACTTAAGGTGACAAGAGTACATACCATACTAGTCATTGAACGGTCACACATAAACAATTCACTGGTTGTGCTATGTGAACATTTCAAAATCCATAGAATCAAGAGCTTGATCATAATTTAAAACTTCTCCCCAATAATAGTTTGCTCAAGATCAGTGGTAGTAATTAATGTGGAGGTACTTTGTGTGTTCTTTGAAGCTAACTACATGTAGGAATGACTTTCTGAACTCATGTTGTTGCTGATTTAGTAGATAACGAGTACCAAAACTCTGCAGTGAACTTACTTTTACTTCTGCATTCTACATGTGTCAAATTGTCTTATGAACTACTCTCCTTTCATTATTTAACAGCTTCATTACTGTAGATGTTTTTTTTTTCATTTTGAGTACATTTAAAATATCAGTGTTTTCATGAAAATGTTGTGTTTCCAGGTATATTTCTGTCTATTACTGAAAGACATAGGTGAATGAGTTCAACTGGGATATTTTTTTTTTAATGCATTAAACATGACTTATTAGTAAAATAGACAAATGGTAACTATACATTGCTCTGCTAAGAATGATGCTAGCATGCTCCATAACAATCCAGAATATCAGTAATGAGTTTCTCCTGTCACTGACAGAACAAATTTTGAGTTTTATTAACACAAAAAAAGTATTTTTCTGATAATTCTTCAAATCTTACCCAATGTCATCTTCGGTCTCAACAAAGCAATGTCATTCATTCTGTCATTGACTATTCAAAACTAGTTTCGGTCGACTCTGAGATCTAGAATGTATTTATAGCATTGAATTCTTGAAGACAAGCCTGATCACTCATGGTCCCTCACAAGAATAAAATATTTGTGCATGGTATATCTCATTTGTTAGATAATAGAGAAATATCGGAAAGTAACAAACTTTCTTGAAGCTAAACTGTTTGAGGATGTTTTTTCTTCACAGGTTTTGATAGATATCCATTCAACCAATTTAAATGATGAACCTCTTTGGTATCAGCTAGGCCATCATGACGAAACTAGCATCCCTCTGCCGCAATCTTCCCCACGAACGGTAAGAAAGTTAAACATTCGACTAAGGATAATAAAATGATTGATTTTTAAATTTCACAAATGTCTATATTTTCCAATAAGTTGAATTTATTTCATTTCAAAAGTGTCTATATATTTTCTGATAAACATAATTGCATACATGTGCATGTTACTTGTCCTCTGACCAGGATGTTAATGTCGGATCAGACAGGTTTTACTGTACGATATCTTCCCATCATAATGTCAGGATAAAGGGTCGTGGCAAACAATAAATTTGCATCCCAATGCACTGATTGTTGCTGAACATTTGCATCTTATTTAACAGATAGTTTTCTGTGTAACAATATTATTATTTTCTAAATATAAATTTGTTCAAAACCCATAGAGCAATGGTATGTTTAAAATGTAATTGGTCAACATTTAGTCTAAAGAAAATATGTTCGTTTTCCATGATGTTACAATAGGGCAACTATGACGTGACATCATCAAATGGGGACCAGCCGTTTTCTGCAATGAAAATAATTTGATGCCCTTTTTTGGTTTCTAGGCAAATTCTGTTGATTGGAATGAAAGAAAAATGAACCTTTTCACGGCTAGGGGTGTATGATAGGATAATTCAACCCTCAATATTTTCAAAAATTGTTCTAATTCGGCAGCAAGTCATGGGTTTAAGCTAATCTCAAATGTCCTTGGTTAAAATTTAAATTTTATCGTACAGCCGTGGGTATAAAAGAGTATTTACATGTTGTGTCAAAGACAAAATCAGTGTACGGTTTCTGAAAAAAAATAATCACAGCTCAACAATAGGTCCATGTAGTTTGTTACAGAAAACAACTAGATGTCATCTTGATATAACTAAGTTTTGTCAAATTGATAGTTTTCAGTGTTAAAATAAAACATGTTTATATGGATATAATTTAGTTTACTGGGTACAAAAAAAATGAGGTAAAAATCACATGTTGCTAAAATGTAAACAGGCAAATTTTCGTCACTGTTTAATTTTCTTCTTTTTCACACTGGTAGTAAATAGTAAGTGATATAATCACTTAGTAATCAAATGTGAAGGGCAAAATTAACATTGGGCGAAAACGGATTTCATTGGCGTAGGGCGAAAGTTTTATTGTATGACTGTAAAAGTATTTTTATATTGGTGTCTGCAGAAGTCTAGCCAAGATCCTTATGACCTGAGAAAGGCTCTCTCTCCCCCAGTCAGCCTACGTGGCCTCAGCGACAGCGATATGTCCGAATTGGACTTTGATGACAGCGTAGGGGTCATCCCAGGTAAGTTTTATCACGCTAAGTAAAAGAAAAATAAATATTTTCCCGTAGAACACCAGTAACAATTCTTTTTCGAGCTTATTAACAAATCATAAGAATTTGGTGAAGTAATAGGTATATAATTGGATAAATTTACAGCGAAGAAGTTTTATAAAATTGATAAGAAACAACAGATTCCTATACAAAATCAAATTAATAAAATATCTAAAGAATATCATCTATTGGTATAACATACCCGGTACTTATTGTTACTATTTCATAGAAGATAAAGGAACACGGGGTTACTTCCTCTTTCAATATTATCAACATTAAAAAATGGTTTGTATGATTTTTTTGATTTTTTTTTTGCACAATCGTTTGGAAGGAATTTATAAGAGTTATTTCCCCTTACAATATCATCAACATTCAACATGTTTTAGTTGACCTTTAGATTTGTTTTCCACATTTATTTACTTTCCCCAATATTCATAATCCTGTAAAAAGGAGTTCACAGTCATGTAAAATGCAGTTGTCCTGAAATTCACAGCGGTAAAGATTTTTGTTCTGTTGAAATTTATTACATGTACCACTGATAAATCTCATAGAGGAACTATTGTTTTGTACATTTTCTGCATCAACTTTTAGATTCTAAATAGGTAAATCCCCATTTGCTTTGGTACTATCGGTCACTGCCATGATCATGTAAGGAAATTAATTCTGGCAGGGTTAAGACATAATACAAGTTTTAAATGAGTTGTAAATAAAAGTTATCAATTTATGATGTTTTCATAGGCAACTCTTTTCCTCTTGTCCTGTATTCTAAGGAATGATTTTGGAACATGAACTCATTCACCGCTGAAATGTCATTATGAACAATCCCATCCTTTGAATTGGAAGAGTCCAAATGTGTCTTCGGGTGTGAATAAGTTAACAGACATGTGGTCACTGATGAGTCATAAGTTGAGAAAATAGCCGAAGGTTGCAGTGAATCTTTCTTTGTCTTTTATTGTCACCTAAATGGATTTTTAAATGAGTTCTTCCTTTAATTCCATACTAGGTATTTGTAATGAATTTACTGGTGTGGCTAACACATGAATTAACAGATTAACAGTTTTGATTCAAAACAGACATTATCAGAGTTAAGTTGTACATTGAGAATTTCCGCATTGTCAGACGATGCACTTTGATGCTTTTAATATGGTTAACACTTTCTTTTATTTCAACGCTTTATAGTGATTTTATGTCTTGTTTTGTTATAATCAAAGAATTAAAAATATGCAAAATATAAAACCAGACAAATTGGTTGCATTTATAGTCAAGAGTAAGATAGGACTATTGAAGGTATTGTGCAAAAAATATTCCTTGGAAAGATATATGAAGTACAAAGCTTCGGAATTATAAATCCAATACATATCTAGCACACACGTAGGCATACACATATATGGATAATAGCGATATTAGCCAGGTGGCATATGACTAGTAGTTAGTGCTTGGTAAGGCATCTCCTGCAAAGTCCTCAAAATTTAATGGATTAATGTATTATTTAATGTGTATATTAAATTGTATTGAATGTATCCATTTTATATGTATGTACTGTAAAGCGGTTTAGAGTGGCTTTTTCTAACTAGATAGGGCACTATGTCAAATGTTGTATATTATTATTATTATTTTTTAATTTGGAAGAAATAAAAAGGTCAAGGTCACAGAGACAGCCTTAATTTAGAATTATTGACTAGATGATATTTCTCCTGTCGGCCTTAAATTCAAGCTTGTATACAAAAAATGTGAATTGTTTATGTCAATTAAATAAAAAGCCATGATGTTACAACCTCGACATTAATTTACTGATCAACTTGAAAAAATACATCTTTTTCAACAAATTATTTAAGAATATATCTAATTCCTGTACGATTAAACAGCTTAGTCAGAAAAATCTCAATCTATGGCCAAAATTTGAGAGGTTTTGTACAAGGCTTTTCACCACATACGACGAGCGCTAGTTTTTTACTAACGCTTTCCTACTGTAAAAAAGTACTCCGTGTTTTAATAGTTCTGCACCATCAATAGCACATGAAATTTGTCATATAATTGATGATGGAGTGGTTATGTTGCATCAAGTGATGATGCGATCCTATTGCAGTGCCGCTGTTTTCAGAATCCGTTATGTCGCTTGTAAAGTAATCGTTTTCTGGGTAGGTTTGGTTAAATTGAGTTTAGCATTCCCAGGTAGGCTGCTTCACTTATGAAGTATATGATAAATACTTGTCATACAAAAGTACATCTGTACGTTTAATTTAGTTTCTCAATAAAGAGCAGTTTTGTGGATAATCTGAGTCTAGGTAACTCTAGCCCGATTATCGGAAGCCAAAGTTGCAACGTTTTTAACTTCAGAATGTTCTTCATCCATGCTAGGTTTGTCGTCGGCGTATATTCGAGGGGATATAATGAGTTGTAGCTCCCTCGGAAGCTCTTGTAGTCCACCTCCGGGCAGTGAGGAACTTTCTGATGCTAGTGAGAAAAGGGCATTGTCAGTTAAAGGCAGAGGCTCACCACAGGTAGAGTTCAGATATCACGGTTCCCCCCAAGGGGACCCAAGTAGTAGTGGAGGTGAATGGAACATCAGAAATCAGACCCTATCACAGAACAATCCACACAGGGTTAGGGGCTCTGGAAAGGGTAATTCAAATATTAGAGGTAGACGATCGCCACAGAACTCTAGCAGTAGAGGGTGGGAGTCAATGCATGGGGAACAGCGTGATAGGGACAAGAGTTCCCCTCAAGATGATATGAGCAGTAGAGGGCCAGGCTCCCCACTAGGGGACCCAGACACCAGTCAACGGACCTCGCCACAAACAGACCCAGATTTGAATGGGCGGAATACACCAGTGGGAGATCGAAGCATGCGAGGAAGAGGTTCCCCACAGGGAGACCCAGACTTGAGATGCCTGATTTCTGAGCCAGGTACCACAGCTAATTGTCAGTGCTAATGTGGTGTCCTGTGCCTTATTTTGTCTGCTCCGTAATTTTATGCTAATGGGATGTTTTATACTGTGTCTGTGGTGCTTTAACCTTTCCGCAACATTCAACGCCTTATATGGAATCTTTTGCTGGTCATTTTTACAGAGATTGTATGGTTTTATTTGATGGTAAATGCCCCTGTGGTGGAAAGTGTTATTTGGTAGTGTATTGTTCCCTCTATCTGCCCACCCAGCTGTTTATGTGCAAATCCCATTTTCCCATGTGTCCGTAACATCACATACCACATTAACGTATGGTAAAGTCGATAAAAATACCCTACTCTTCTTTAAACAGTAAGCAAAGGTCATACTTACCTCAAAGATCAAAGTATCGTCATGTTAGGACTTGTGATGAAAGATGCATCATATTTTGAATTAAAGTTTACAAGACTATTTACTGGGTATAGGGTTATAGTCAGAGGTCAAACATAATTAATTGGCAAGGGCTATAAAATCATAGGTGAAACATCATTTACTTGTCTAAATTAAAAGCACTGGTCAAGCATATATTAACAATATAAGATCAGAATCAGAATAAAACAAAACATCATTTACTGCTCTGGGTTTTGATCAGAGGAAAAATATAATATTACAATTATACCAACACATAATCACAAGACAGACATAACTTACGTTAGGGTCGTTCTGGGAAATCAAACATGATGACACTATATTAGTACTAATTTTAAGGATTTATTTACTTTTATTTACAATTATTAGATATATTGTAACCCACCTCGGTGGTGGTCCTGGTATTTATTTAAGTAACAATCCAATTTCAAGGTATGCTTATAAGATAAAGTTCAAAGTGTTGGATATGACTTATTGGTTTTGATGTATTCATTAAGCTTTGAACTGACCTTTGAACTGTGACCTCTCGGCTGGCTTATTTTGTATTGTTTGTCATGTACGAGTTCCTTCACATCTCCCAGCTGTATCTATCCTGTGGTGTTGCCTATGTAAAACCATATGTTCAATACATTTGTCATACATCTTTAACCCTTTCACCCCTATGTAACTTTAATAGACTCAACAATGCATTGATGTGGATGAGTCCATTATGGTCTATAGTGGTGGAAGGGTTAACATGTAAAATTCGGCTGAAACATTGATAGAGTACCTACATCACAGACAGACTCAAAGTATATAGAAATTAGATGACTTTTCCTACATCGTAACCACGTGGGGATATGTGATTTGTGGTATTATCTCAGTGTTACTATTTTTAGAGGAAAAAAACAGGTTAATATTCTCTTTGTGATGTTACTTCATTTGTTGCAAGAATTTCATTTTAAATGAGGTTTTTCATTCGCTAGCTAAATCTATTTTGCACAGGTAAAAGTTGAGCTGTGTAGTACCTATACCTTTAACTCATTTACCCCTGGAATTTCATAATGAACTATTCCAACCTTTGAATTGGAAGAGTTCAAATGTGTCTTCAGGGGTGAATGAGTGAACAGGAGTATATGTATGATTTCGGCGAAGCACAATTTCTTGGCAGTACAATGCTACTATATTCATCCATCCTTGGATGAAAATTTGTAAATTTTTGTTTGCAGTGAAACTAATGCAGGTTCAGATTAAACATCCAAACTTGTCCGCATATTCCTAGCACTAAATTGAGATCCTGTAGCTGAGTTGACCCCGCTTGAACCTCGACCTATTTCTCTGAACCGTGATTTATGTTATTCTGCTATTTGTTACTGTGCTATGTACATCAAAATAAAATGATATTCAAGAAAATAGTTTTCAAAGAAGTAGTTCATTTACCATGTATCGCTATTTGCTTGTCAAAGGAGTACATATAATGCCACAGTGTGGTGCCCATCCTATAACTCTTTCTTCAAACAAGATCTTTTTAAGAACCACAATTAAGATATAAGGTTATGATATTTGGCTTAAAGCTTGATAGGGTTATCAATTCTGTTCAAATAAACGGCCTCCACCTGCATTCAATGTAAAATATAGTAAAATGTTTAAACATCTTCAAACAATGAGGTCTACAGTAAAAAAATAGTTAAGTAAAATAAACAACAGTTGATTTCCATAGGGAAAAAACATAAATGATAAAACAATTGTAATTCTCGGTCCTAATATTTCGGCCTCCTGGTAAATCTTCAAGGGGGAAATTCAAGTTACATCCATCTGACTTCCTTTACTTCTGAATCAATCATTAATTATGAATATGTTGCTCATGCATCGTCAAGCTCCAATTCTTATTATTTGTTTGTTTTGTTTTTGTGTTGTTTAACGGCCCGTCGACAATGTAAGTCATCAAGGGCCATCGATACTTAAAATTAACATATCAGACCAAAACTAAATAGGTTACAATATGTAAAGGATAAGAGAACTATATAAAAATCAAACTAATTGGCTTCACAATATGTCATATTTTATGGTAAGGATCAATAGAGTGTAAATAGTCAAATATTAATTGCACGGAAACTGTATCGAATAATCTTTTCATTGACAGTACATCATAAAATCTGTCACGTATTTGTTTGAAATCAGCGCATTCAATCATAAAGTGTTTGGCTGTAAATGGCTGATTGCATGCATGACAATAATGCTGGTCTTCAATACGCAAAATGTAACCATGTGTGATGTAGGTATGGCCTATGCGCAGTCTCGAGAGGACAGTTTCCTCTCTGTGGTCTGCTCTACTCCACATAAGGCTGAATAGCGAATAACTTGCTGTTTACAATCCTTTCATTACTTTAAATACAAACTATAGATAAACTAAAAAAATAATATGTTAAAAGGTGTAAAAATACAAAAAAGGGAACAAAAATACAAAAACCAAAAAGTAGTAAATAAAAATGTCAATAAATGCTTGAAAAATAGTTTTGATGAATATTATTTTTAGTTTTGATGAATATTTTTTTTTTTAATCCTTTTAAGAGTTATTCCTTCATCACCAAATTTGCAAAATGTGATAACTGCTGTTTGCAAAATTACATTAAGTAGCTTAAATACTACAATGTACGTATACACAAACCTTGATACACTAAAAATATTTACACAATTGTTAAATGGTTATTTTCTTTGTTAAATTAATCTACTGTTCTTGTCAATTTATATCTTTAACTCATTAACCTCTGAAGACACATTTGAACTCTTCCAATTCAAAGGTTGGAATAGTTTATTATGAAATTTCAGGGCAAAGGGAGTTAATGTTACTCATGCACTAAAATATCTGAAAATCTCAGAATGTTTTCCCCTGTGACTCTCTCGAAATTGGTTAGTATCTGAGGCTTTGTTGGAGGTGTATGACTGTACACAAACCGAGCTTTATAAAGATATCGATGCTGTTAACGCAGCTGGCATCTTTCCAGATTGCGTTAGGGATGACCGAACCGAGCGCCGCCGACTGTCAGGCAAGAACAATGAGATGCTGTCAGTACCACGAGACCAAGCGCCCCAAACCCATCAAAGTTCAAGGTCACCACATCCTCCAGAGAAAGGTCACTCTAGTAGAACAAGGTCAAGGTCGCCTTCTTCCTACCACCGCGTGCCTGAATCAGCGTCCCGGTCTCTCTCACCACCAGAATTAAGGTATGTCATCCACGTCTTTCTCACCTCCAGAATGAGGGAATGTTGTTCTGGCTTCTCTTATATCAAGAATAAAGGTACTTCGTTAAGGTATGATTTCCAGGTCTTTCTACTCTAAAATTAAAGTTACTGTACAAATCTATCTTGTCTCCAAAATTAGGTTCACTGTCCCGATCTCGCGTACCTCCATAATTAATGTACATTTTTCCAGTTTCCTTATCTGACAGAATTAATACACGCTATTCCGATCTTGTTTAACTGCAGAAGTAAGGTATATGGGGTAGATTTTCAACAGCTTATGCAACGCTTTTGATCATTATAAGATGTTGCATTTTTCTGATCTTGAAAGTTCTAAGTTTAGTAGATAATGTTTGAGGTAAGGTAGGTTTCATGGCACTATTATAAATGGACAACATTGTCGAACAAACCTTCAAGTTTTAAGGATGTTACTTCGCAATAAAACAGTCCTTTCACTACTCACATGTTCAAACGTCAGTGGAGTTGATTCTGTAACTTAAATGTTCTGTATGTAAATAAGTAAGTTAGCATATATGGTATCTTTCATAAGTTTCCATTTTAATTGATATCTTTAAAAGAGTCATTTCCATTTTAGCAAAGCTTTGTTGAGAAAAAAAGAATAAAATATCAAAACAGGTTTCATAAACCTTACATTAAATGAAAACGAAAAATACATCCCTTGTACCACAATTCCAGCAATTTATGCAAAAAAAATGTAAAACAAGTAAATTTATACACCAGTTGTAACTGAAAACCATTTCAATTTTCGTTAATACTTTAGTTCTTTATCAACTAATGATACACACTAATCGTATCTTTCTAAGTTTTGTATTTATTGAATATTTGCATTATGCTATTGATATCTGGACTTTGAAATGAAATAGTTGCCCCAGATTAGTAACAGATATTTTAGACCCCTCGAAAGTATCGCTGTTTTAACTTACATTCTGTTTTACAGTAAATCATCTCCAAAGCGAAGGAAGCTTCCGGCAATCCCACTCGAAGCTCAAATGGCAGGTCGAGACAAAGGTAAGTATACAGTTATCTGCCACAGAATTGTTTCTGACAAAGTACAAACTCATTGAATGGGGCTACTTCTGTTATTTGGTTATCTGATCCTTTCAGGAAAATATTTTTTGAAGGAATTATGAGTTTGTGATAAAAACATTTCTAATACAAACTTCATGTACTCGTGTCCTTTGCTGAATCCTGATTCTAAAACAAATTTAGAAATGTTCTATCAGCCTGCATCGACCTTTTCCTTCATGCATACTATTGCCAATTTATTACATTTGATACATTCATCACGAGAAAATTGTAATAAGTTATTCCTCACAAATTGGCGAAACTTGCGATATGGAAAATTTGATAGCCATTCCATGTATGCTTTACATGAGTCTTTTAATCGTGTAGAATTTCGTTTGTGAGAGGTTTTCTGCCGAATAACAATGATGCATGTTTCTTTCTTTGTTGACCTTACAGCGACTCAGGACTTGGAGAAGCGAGCCCAGAAATTGACGATGAAGATGAAAATGTCCTCCAGTGGTGCAAATATGTCGGACAGCGAGAGTTACCGCAGTAGGCGAGACTATCACCGTGGTGACTTCCGGGAGCGATCACGTGACAGAGGCATGTCAGGGGATCGAGGAGAAATGATGTACGAGAGAAGCGGCCATGGCAGCAACGATTTTGATCGTCCACATCATCACCGTAGATCTAGAAGAAATCCTGGTAAAAAGTTTTGAACATGCTTTTATCGTGACAGCAACTCGTCACACTCAGCCAAATTTCAAGTCTTTGAAAGTAAATTTTAATACAATCTTATGAGGTGTATTTGTGAACCTCGAATTGTTCTACCTCATTTTCAGGTTATTACAGTAGTTCCATATGAATACGATGAATTAAGGTTGTCAATTTGTGTCACATTTACAATATATTTTGCTGTATACCATATTAAGGTTTTAACGAAAATCGTATCTTATGATTCCCTGTTTTGGTACATTTAGAGTTTAATCCGGACATTGGTGATGATATGGGAAGTGATGCCTCTGAGACGAGTGACATGTCTGAGGTATCGAAAGTGAGCACGCTCAGTGTCAGATCGACACAATCCGATCATCCTCGGCGCACGTTCAGGTACGTGTGTGGCACGAATAATGTAGAACTTCCTGCATAATTGGGTGTATCCTTCTATTTTCTGCGTATGTGACATGCAAAAAAATCAAAATTGATCTGCTTCTCCCAATACAACAACATTTGGTATCTCTATATTTTTATTTTCACTTACCTGCACTTCATTTTCGGCAATTTCTCCCTAAGAACCAGTTTTCACTACTTTATCTGGTGGGAGAATGTAACATCTGAAACAGTTAACAATTCTTTTTGTGATTGCCAGGAGCATTACCAATGTGTATGGAGAACCCACAAGATTTTGAAATTAGAAGGTCAAGGTCAAATTAAGCTATTTTTTGTACTTTTAAAATAGTTCCTTTGGAACTGATATTTGCATTATGCCATGATGAAAGTGAGTCATGAGGACTTACATTTCAAATTTTAATTAAATTATCTCTCGCTGTGTTCACAGTGAGTTTTCCCAGAGGATGGGGATTCGAACTACCGTTCCACGTCGGCAGATAACCCCAAGTTCCAGCAGCGATAGCCGTGACAGTTATGAAAAAACCGATGGCAGTATGTCCGACTCCGCTCTTAGTGCCAGCGTGACTGAGGGTCGTAAACGGAGACCAAGTCTTGGCCACAAAATGGCTACCTTTGTGGGCTTACCTTGGAAAAGTAACAGTGCCTCACAGTTAGCAGGTCAGTTGGCATTAACTTGTTCACCCCTACATTTTTAGAATGGATTTGCCCAGTCTTTGATTTGGCAAGTTTCAAATGTAACTTTAGGGCCGAATGGGGCACGAATCCCTGTATTTCAGATTCAAAACTATACTTTCTATCCTAACAAATTTTAAGGATTCCTGTAACACTGCCAAAGACTTACCTTGCCTTGATTACCATTTTCCCCATGATAGTTATAGCTTTGATAAATCATTTAGGAAAAAAAACTATTTGTTGCGGGACTTTAATGAACCATAATAAAGATGAAATAAACAAAATGAAATCAACAACAGTGTTCCAAGTGTGCAAATGGATAGCTGTTTTTGCTTCTTGGTTAATACTAATGCATTTCTTGACTTGTGATATATAGAGGCAGGTAAGAAGAAGAACTCATTCCAAAGAAGTGTAGAGGTTGGGCATGGTCTGGAAGCCAAGTACGGGAGAATGGTGAAACAGGCGAGTAAAGACTCTACAGACGGCAGTATCGGCAGCATCAGTAGTGACTCCGGCAGTGTGTGAGTATACATACCAGGGTCATTAATTGCTGTGTAATCGTAGGATTCTCAATAAAGTTAGGAACCTTTCAATGAAAGATTAATTGTAATACGGAATTTGATCTTTGGATAGTACCTCCCAGTATCTGAGTGTTTGAAGTTAACATGTATGCGTAGTTAATAAGAAGAAAACATGAAGGTTAAGTTACAAAGTCGACAAGTAAACAAAGAATGTTGTGTTACCTAGTTTTTGAAGTGGACTAGTATATTGTACATAGTAGACTGGTATATTGTACATATTACATAGTAGACTGGTATATTGTACATATTACATAGTAGACTGGTATATTGTACATATTACAAAGTAGACTGGTATATTGTACATATTACAAAGTAGACTTGTATATTGTACATATTACAAAGTAGACTGGTATATTGTACATATAACAAAGTAGACTGGTATATTGTACATATTACATAGTAGACTGGTATATTGTACATATTACATAGTAGATTGTTATATTGTACATATTACATAGTAGATTGTTATATTGTACATATTACATAGTAGATTGTTATATTGTACATATTACATAGTAGACTGGGATATTGTACATATTACAAAGTAGACTGGTTTATTGTACATATTACATAGTAGACTGGTATATTGTACATATTACATAGTAGATTGGTATATTGTACATATTACATAGTATACTGGTATATTGTACATAGTAGACTGGTATATTGTACATATTAAAAAGTAGACTGGTATATTGTACATGTTAAAAAGTGGACTAGTATATTGTACATATTACATAGAAGACTGGTATATTGTACATATTACATAGTAGACTGGTATATTGTAAATATTACAAAGTAGACTGGTATATTGTACATATTACAAAGTAGACTGGTATGCTGTGTTTCAAAATCATCAAAATAAACTAAATATTTTGAGTTACATTTTGAGCTACCAAGTCAGTGAAGTAGACTGGTATGTTGTGTTACAAAGTCTTAAAAAAATCTGGTTTGCCGAGTTACTAAGTTTATGAAGTAAAGAAATACGCTGAGTTTCAAAAGTGTACCAAAACAGATATGCTTTGTTACTAAAGTCTACAAAGTCAACATAAAATCACAACAATTATGATAAAAGTTATTTCCACTTAAATAAATCACTCTTGTTTACCCGGATGTTACCGCGCGGGGGGTCTTAGTGTGGGAAGAATTAAACCCGACCACCCAAAAGAGTAATTTATATCAGATGAAATTACTTGTTTCATAATTGTTGTAAATAAATAATGTTTATATTTTAAAAATACAATTGCATTTATGCAGAGTTACGTCAAGGAAAAAGGTAAGATGTGTTACTGAATCCTCAACGTTAACAAGTATGTGGAGTTACTAAAAAAATGCCAATGAAGCAAACAAGTGTGTGAGTTAACAAGCCTTTGAAGTAGACAGGTATACAGAGTTAACAAGCCTTTGAAGTAGACAGGTTTACAGAGTAAACAAGCCTTTGAAGTAGACAGGTATACTGAGTTAACAAGCCTTTGAAGTAGACAGGTATACTGAGTTAAAAAGCCTTTGAAGTAGACAGGTATACAGAGTTAACAAGCCTTTGAAGTAGACAGGGATACTGAGTTAACAAGCCTTTGAAGTAGACAGGTATACAGAGTAAACAAGCCTTTGAAGTAGACAGGTATACTGCGTTAACAAGCCTTTGAAGTAGACAGGTATACTGTGTTAACAACCACTTGAAGTAGACAGGTATACTGAGTTAACAAGCCTTTGAAGTAGACAGGTATACTGAGTTAAAAAGCCTTTGAAGTAGACAGGTATACTGTGTTAACAAGCCTTTGAAGTAGACAGGTATACTGAGTTAACAAGCCTTTGAAGTAGACAGGTAAACTGAGTTAACAAGCCTTTGAAAAAGACAGGTATACTGAGTTAACAAGCCTTTGAGGTAGGCAGGTATGCTGTGTTACTAAGTCTTTGAAGTTAAGAGGTAAACTGTATAATTCTGTATAAGTATGCTGAGTTACAAAGTTTATGTAAGTAAAGAATTAAACAAGCAAGTTACTAAGTATGAACAACTAGAACACTGACAGGTCAGTAAGGGCCCCGTCTTGTGGCAATTATATCCCCCATAATCATCAAGAAGCAATCTGCCCATATAGCTGAGCTTGACGTTTGACATTTGGACTTCAAAAAGAATCGCAAGGAAGCAAAATATACATTTTACATGTACAGTACTATGATGTGATGTGTTTCCTTCCATCTTCATATTTGCTGGGCTAACAGAAATGTAATTACCGGTGCAATACTCATTTGTTAGCTTTGATTTGTTTTATTTCACCTTATATACCTTCTCCATCAAGAGCCAGGGTCAAAGTCAGAAATCCACTTTGTCTTTGACCTTTGGACCCAAATGACCTTGACCATTACCCAGTGACCCTGATCTTTGGTCAGTTGACTTATTCTTTAATTCCGACCAACTTTGCTTCTTAATATCATAACAAAATGTTCATCAGTGAAAAATACAAAACTTGACCTTGACCCTTTGATCCAAGTAACCTTGAACTAAAGTCAGTTGACTCTGTTAAGTTCTGAACAACATTGCTTTATAATGTCATAGCGAAATGTTCACCAGTAAAAAGATACAAAATTTAACCTTGACCTTTGACCCAATGACCTTGACCTTTGGTCAGTTGACTTGTTTAATTCTAATCAACTTTGCTTCATCATGTCATAACAAAATGTTCATCAGTGAAAAGATGCAAAATTTGACCTTGACCTTTAAATCTCATGACCTTGACATTTGACCTCAATTTTTTACCTCAGTGTGTCTCTTTGTTTAGTTCCGAACAACTTTGCTTCATAATGTCATAGCGAAATATTCACTAGTGAAAAGCTACAAAATATGACCTTGACCCCTGACCCGATGACCTTGACCTTTGGTCAGTTGAATCCTTGTTTAATTAGGATCAACTTTGCTTCATAATGTCATAACAAAATTGTTCATCAGTGAAAAGATGTAAAATTTGACCTTGACATTTGAACCTAATGCCTTGACCTTTGACCTTGACTTTTAGCCTCAATGTGTATTTTTATGAACTGAACATCTTGACCAAGTTTCATGTACAACGGTCAATAATTACTAAAGATATCAGCCAGGAACAAATTTTGTGGACGGACAGACAGACAGACATACAGACACAGTGATTACTATAGGGCACCCGTATCTCCGATACGGGGCCCTAATAAAGTTGAATACATTGAATACGAAATAACATTGAGAGAAGTGAGAAATGTTTGTTTAACTATTCGTGTCTTAGCAGTGATGTCATATAATCATTTGAAAGGGAATATGGTTTAGTAAATATGATCAGCGGTCAAAATATATAAAACTGTATCATGAAACATACTGTCTGGTGAAACGTGTCAATTTTCATTTCTATAGTTGAAACAGTTGTAACATAGAGTGGCAATTGTTGATAGAGAAGAAATGAAAATATGTATGTAGTCGTAACTATTATAAAATATGCGTAAGACGTACAGTGAGGAACGCTACAGAAATGATTCAGCTACATTGCAGTATGTTTTATAGGGTCTGGCAGCCCCCAGGTGGTAATCCCGCCCTTGGTCCTGAAGGGCAGTTCGGAGAATTCATTGAGGGCCTTGGCCCAGCTCAGCTGGTGGGCCGACAAGTTCTTGGTTCACCGTGTCTTGGCGAAATCCAGCTTGGCCTTTATGACAGGAAAGGTCATTTGGAAGTAGAGGTCATACGGGCACGGGGATTAATGGCAAAATCGGGGGCCAAAATCTTACCAGGTGGGTACAATTCTTTCTACGAAAATCAGATAATATTGATGCTGCTAATTTTATGTAAATAAAACCTTTATACAATGCTCTACGATTAAACACATAGTAACAAATATTAATGATATACAACATTTATATAACGCATTATATAATTTGCAAAATTACTGTAATGCGCGGGTTACAACACATGGATAATAGTATTCCTACAGTGACAGGTATAAAGATACAATGTAATAGATGAAAAATTAATAAAATCAGCATTATACATTAGGTAACAAGTCCTTTATCTCTATATACATATAAACAGTCTGAAGAATCTCCTTGAAGAGATGAAAATACTAAAGACTCGTTGTTGAAATTTTGTCTTTTTACATATAAAAATATATTTAGGGTTGGGAGTGTGCAAAACAGCCTAAAATGCAGACGTGAATAGATTGCCTTTTTAAATCGGTCGTGAATTTGGCCAGATTTGTTTACTTCCTGGTAGCAGATTCCACACAGTCGCCAAAACCCTTCCGAAGCAAAGTACAATACCATAACCATAGCTTATTTTTACAACAGCTTTAAAGTGTGGAGCCAAAATTAGACTATGAAATCTCGTATCATTTCTGAATATATTCGTTAATAATCACTGTATGTAGCGATTTACTTTAATGATAAAAATTAATCATTTGTGCAAGGAATGGGAATATACATGTTGACATTAATGTTAGGATTAAGTCCTGTGTGCCGTAGGTGTATATAATAATAATATAGCTAGATAGGGCGCTATATCAAATGTTGTATAAACCACTTTACAGTACATAGATGTACAATTAATTTAGCATATATATAAATCAATACAATTTTGAGGAATTCGCAAGAGCTGCCTTATCAGGCGCTAACTACAAGTCCTATATATGCCATCTGGCTTATATCTCCCTATGTGTGTACTGAACATATATGTAAAGGTGGTCATGAATGACAACTTAATTCTTTATATTCCCAATCAATAGCCCACTTCCAAATTCAGATGGAATGATATCAATTATAAAAGATGATGGACGTCATCATTTTTCTGATGGCTTAATTCCTGGAAAACTAAAAGCATACATGAAATAATCAACTAAAAGTTGTTTTTTATATGATAAATTATTTATTTTCTATGGGATAACATATTTTAAATAAATGGTAAAAATAAGCATTCAGCTGCTTTCAATTGGCATTCATTAGTTATTATTATCGTCAAATGAACAAATTAGCCATTGTCTAGTTGGTTTTCATTTTCCCGTTGAACGCCAGCTGAAATCAGTTTAATGCCCAAGAGCAATCATGCCCAAATACCGTCAGCCGTGGTAAAAATTGAATTAATCCGGTGTCCCAGTTCTATAAAAGTAAAGGTGTTAAATAATGACTTCATCTTTTCTGTCACAGCTCCTTATGTAAAAGTGTACCTCATTGATGGAAAGACTTGTGTGGAAAAACAGAAGACGGTGGTGGCCCGGCGTACTCTAGACCCCCTTTATCAGCAACAGCTTGTCTTCATGGAGCAGTATGGGGGTAAAATTCTCCAGGTAAACTATCATTGTTAAGAATACCTTTAAACATTTAAACTTTATATTGTATTATTTTGTTTCATAGTTTGGATGTTGGATTATTTTAGTAAATAAAGTTTAAACCTTGTTTTTTTCATGAATTTTGACAATACATTGAGATATTTTACATTACATAAAACTGAAAAGGAAATATAAGTGTCATGACACTTTTGTAAATTCTTCAATAAGTGATCCATATTGACTATTGAATATCATTGTCTGAAAATAAGATTATCATGTTCTGCCTGTATGCGTTGCTATTGCAGAGATTTTGGTTCTAAAATGTTTTGTTATTTTATAAAATAAAAGAAGAAAATGTACATGATATAAATGATTCATATTGTGGACAAGAAATTCCTAGGTTATCACTATTATACCTACCGTATTTGTAGTACTAAGTGCTCCTCCCCCGTTAAACGCCCTTCCACCTTTGTTGGAAAGAATTGAAACTATATAGATCCCCTTCTAGACGTTACCAGGCTGAATTGATGTTTAATATTACTTACAGTTTTAAGCAGAGAATCATGTCTGCTGATCATGGCTTGACTAGCTTCCCGTGAAGCATTGAAAACAAGTTCAATGATCTAGGCACACTGAATTGTTTGTTATGTGTCTGGGTGATAACAACTGGTTGAAGCTGCAGTTTTTTTTTATCCTGTGTCGCATTTAATTATCCTAGGAAAATCCACACTTTAAGCTAATTTTAAGCAACCGGGGTGCTTATTGCGATGAATATGATAGTCTTCTGAATTCAAATGTTCCATGGTTGAAAATATTAACGCGGGTATTTGATCACTGGCCTACAGATCAAATGAAATACATTTCGGTATCAAGTCAGTATTAGGGTTTCGTTCCTACGCATGTTTCAATTGCATATACTCCTAAGTTTCCAATGTGGATTTGCACTGCAATTGTACCGTAAATGGTCCTTAAACAAGTAATATCTTCTTTAACAGGTGACAGTTTGGGGCGATTATGGACGAATGGACAGGAAAGTGTTTATGGGAGTAGCACAGATTTTACTGGACCACCTGGATCTTACGAACATTGTGATTGGCTGGTACAAATTATTTACAAGCAATTCATTGGTCGGTCATCACTCGTCCACTTCCACTCTCGGTCATTCTCGCAAAGGCTCAACTACGTCGCTAGACAGTGGCTACAATAACAGTAGTCCAAGAACATAGCACATGGCATCAACATAGCAATGTCAATAAATTAGTACTAGGAAAATTCTTCATAGTAATTTTGTATTAAATCACACAGTAATTCGTTCATACCCCTAAGAAGATGAATGTAGGAAAATAATGTCTTCTCTGATGGCTACAGATACTAGCAATGGTAGCAGTACTTACGAACGTTTTTATTAAGAAAACCTAAGTCATTCCAAGATGATCGAAGTACCGTGTGATCAATTACTTCACTTCATGTGGTTAAGATAGATATTTGGACGTTCAGTTTCATGTGACCTTTAAACTATTTGTTACATAATTGCGATTATTTTAACAAACAAAGAGAACATTTGATAATCAAGCTTTAAATACTCGTTTGTAGGATGTGATGGAATTGCATTTAGTCATAATCTAGGACATTAATGAATACATCAATTTTCAAAGTGTGTTTCTCAATCATTTTAGTCATTCATAAAGGACTATCAATAGCAACCATTCTCCCATTCCTAAAAAGAGCTGAACAAAACATGTGGTATGTAGATAACTCACATTCCGCGTTTACCGATAGTGTTTACAATATATTAAAATTGATTGCCTTTTTTATACCACACTTAATCAACCATTGTAATGATTGTCTTCATTTGTGGAAGATGCTTGTTTACCTGATCACCCTTGTTAACTGATTGGACTGAACTTCCCTTTTGATATTGGGTTGAACCAAGTTGTACACAGGGGAGATAGTTTGCTGTTTTGTGTGATTTTCCCACTTCCCTTCTTTGCACAATGAAGCACCAATAGTGCTAGCTAGCAATTAGACAGGTAGATGTCAAAGACATTATTATAAGAATGTCGAGTTCGTTAATTGCTGGATTCATTAAGAGTCTTGACCTCTTGGTACAAAGGTCATTCGGAAGAGGAATGTTTTTTTCCAAGGTTGTGTCTATGGCATTAAGTCATTGGTATGAATGGCATTAGCTGTAAAAATGAAGAAATGGGTTGTTATGTGTTTTTAAATACACTTGTGTGTATATATGTATATGGAGTGACGAAGGGCAAGAAAGTGTTTGTGCTCAAAGACTATTTGTTATGCATTTACATGCTGCATAGTTGCTAAATGTTTGAATCATGGGAGAAAGAGATAAATTGTCATTTTAATGTACCTGTAATTTAGATCAAAGACTATTCAATGGTAACCAGCATAATAATACACATTTTTTGTGAATAATTTGGAAACATTTTTTTTCCAACTGCTGACTAAACGCCGCAGGGTGATTAGCCATATACTGTTCATTTGCATGTATGCAAATGCGTTAATTTTCCATGTGATTTAAATATTTAAATGCACTTTTCATTTGCATATGCAAATGCGTTTTAGTTAAATTCTTAATCTGTGTGAGTAAATTTAGATAGCAATGTAACACATTATTTCTCCACGACCAGAAATGTTAAATATAATCATAGCAATTGTTTTATATCTACGAAATGCATATATGAAAGAGATCATAAAATATTATATCAGATGTCTAACTGTTAAACATTATCAGAAATGCTTAGAATCGCAAGAACCATATTTGAATATACGGTCATGTTACTAGACGACCATATTTCTATATATTAATGTGCATGCTGATTTGAAATGTAGAATCGTAAATGCATTTGATAATTTTGATATGGATTGTCATTTCAGCTATTGAATAGCCAAGCTTTGGCCAGTGTCAACACCATAATTACGTTCATACATTCATCTATTACGTGTTGTAAGCATGAATGCAATGCCTTTGATGATGTACATCAACAAGAAATTGACACATTATCCTCGATGCTCCAGGAGTTGCACTCACTTACGTTATCTGCACCTCATGAATATGTCATGTGAGAATCGAAAGATCAGTGTGCGCCGCCTTGTGGAGGAAACGAGCAGATTGGTTTGATCATTTGATGTACCTCGAAAGAATCTCGCGGTTGCTTATCGGTAAAATTGACTGGCTTTTAAGTCCGGTGTCGATCATCTGTAATCTTCAAACTACGGTCGCTCATCTGTATTCTTCAAAGTACGGGTATCAGCCTAGAGATTGGTCATATTTTGTTTACCCGAGACCAATCAAATAGCTACCTGCGTGCCTTTAATTTTGCTGTAATATAACGTACTGTGAAATCACAAATTTTCGTGGGTTTATAAATTGCATTGATTTTGTTGGTACTCTTCACCTATGAATTCATACGACCACAAACTTATTACAAGTTTGTAATAAAGCTACTTCTCGTATACATGAGTAATTGTAGTCAACAAAGTTATCTTCCCAAAAAATTGTAATTTGGTGAATCCACAAAGTTTGGACCCCAAGAAAATCTGATTTCATAGTATTCTATGGGTGCAAAGAGCGTAAGCGAGGGTTACCCCTGGAGTATCGAGGTTTTTGCACATCTGCTGGTATTCTTCACTTTGTCTTTGATCAAGTCTGCCAGCGTACACGACTCTGCTAATGAGTTCTTAATTTCTGAAAATGTCCTAATAACCAGGAATACGAACCTTCAAGTTCACCTTTGCTATACACGATTGAAAAATTTAAAACTTTGGATTTACCTCGAAGTATACTGACTAAAAAATGATTACCATCAAACATTGAACACACATGTTCAGTGCTAATTGTTTTATCCCAGCAAGAATTTACCTGGCAGTGTTAAAAGAAATATTTAATATGTATTTGCTGTTTTTGTCTTTATTGATGATATTTCTCTTCACACAGGACCACTTCATTGACCTGTAACTTTGGACTAGCAATCCTGTAGTTACACTTGTAAATGCTTCCGATAAGTACCGTGTGCTGCAGTTGTATTTTTGCTTGAACACGGAAAAGGCATGTTACGTTATGACACATAAAGTAATGTTTTTATTTAATACACTTAACAGTCCATCAGAGAATATGATCTATGGCCTGTTCACACCTTAAATTGAAATGGTACAATCTATATAGTTCACAAGACTCATCCATTGTTTTGTTTAGGTTGAACAGGTCAAGACATGTTCATATTTCATGTATGCAAAAGTTATAGAGTGATATAATTGTGACGTTTTTCTTAAAAAAATGTTGGCAGAAGGACTTTATTATGTTGAGGACATTAAACCAATTGTTGGCGTAGAAGTCTGTTATATATCGTCAGCAGGACAATAATTGTTTGGTCCAATTTGGAGTAACCTGAGTCAGAATCAACTAGATAATTAATATTGTGATATCTTTTTATTTATTCATAAATAGCGGGTATGTCTTTGTTATATTTTGTTTTTAATTTTATTGAAGAGATATAATAGATATATTATTGGTTTCTGTTTAGTATATATGAATACTAGTAAATATTTTTGTTTTCAATTGTTCATAAATTAAACATCTTTCATAAAAATGTGATCTTTTTTACTAATTATTTTATTTAGTCCGGTATCAACATATTTTCTCCTGAAGCATTAACATTGCGTGAGAAATTTGACAGAAAAACATTCTACATTATTAAATTTGCATCTAGCTACCCTTTTTATATTGGCCATTGTTTGGGTCCAATTGTACATGTAGTTAATTACAATATAATGTAGTGTTTATTAAATACCCTATTCATGTGTTTTTTTCCGGTCACAACAAATTTGTCATACTGAGTCTAGATTAATTTCAAATATTGGCATTTTTGATCATACAAATATCAACCATGAAGTGAAACATGGTTTTCAAAACGTTACATTTGAGAAGATTATTGCAGACTCCCTTGACCTGATGTTGAAAATCACATGTAATTAGAACTGTGTCCGAGATTTAAAGTTACTGAAATATATAATTATTATAAATATTACTGTTAATGTTACTACAGGTGAACACTGTACCCACACCTTCTGTGTGCAGCATTCATTTTAAAGCTGAGGGAAGTTGCTCTCCCAGTTACAAGTATTATGGTATATCACGGGATTTTACGAATATGACAAAAATGCACACTTTCCCACTGTTATGTAAAACTGATCAATTGGTCTATTTAGGTTCTTACCTGTACTAACTTTAACTACATTCCAGGCATTTTGGCCTTTTTTCATTGGAATTTCCTGGTGCTTATAGCAACATTAAAACAAAATGTCACACGTTGAAAATAATAATAATAATTTAATCTGACAATGACAAGGATTTTCATATATTTGCTTTGACTTGTTTTCGAGGTAAACAAGTTACTAAGATGTGATGTCGATTTTGCTGCCAATTTGTTTCAAATAACGACAGGGAATGTATATCCTGTAATTTATTCCATGGTAAAATATGGAGGTAATATCGGGTAATAATCAGTCGGATCGCTTTCTAAGTTTACAATATCATTTTAATTGCAACATTATTGGCTATAGAAAAAAATCCACCAAAAAAGAGATGCATGGAATATAGAGCAAATCCTTGTACTTGTACATTTGAATATCTCGAAGACTGCGTTCATTTTTTTACTGAAAGAAACATCCTACAGGTATTATATATATGTACGCTACAAAACAGAAGATCTACTTTAGTTTAGCTAAGCCTTGTTCATTTCCAACCATTTGTTCACTTATTCATTTTTTTTTCAAAATGACCGGTTACGTGATTGTTGAAATTTAAATACTAACCAATAACACTTATGAGGTAATCAGAGTCTTTGTGCATGGTTGACTTTTTACACTTATACCTCAATTTTGAAAATGTTGTTAACCAATTGCACACGGACTAATGGAGTTATTTCAGTGGTGAAACTTTATGCAAGTAGATTATTAGATATTTTCTTTACGAAGAATGATATCGGAACAAACGGAAATAACACCAATTTTCCACTGTTTTAAACTTCATCACATATTTTTCTGTCCAGAGATTGATTGATCCTAAAACGAACTCAATTTTACGATTTTTTTTTCTAAATTTCTAAAGAACATCACATTCTCTATGAAGTACAGCTTTCTCGACCTCAGTCTTATCTGCCCTATACACTTTAGTATAACCCATGAATAAAACAGATTGAAGTAAAGTTGTGATGCAAGCACAAACCATAAGGTATTCAATGTGATAAGATAGCAACGTTCCTTAGTGAACCAATTGTAACAAGAGTTTCCCTGAAATCCGAGCGCATATCACACACATCCCAACTTATAACGTGGGAAATTTTAGGACGTGCAAAAACATCTATCATTGGAGGTTATCGCTGATGAGAGCATAAGGGATCCATGTATTAAGAGAAAATCTAAAACAATACCTCCTATGCGAGATTGCATCTTCAAATTTTCATCTCATTCTCACAAGATTTTACCCATTGTTTAAGAATATAGAGTCTTAAATTATTAAAACATTGAAACGTATCTCTACAACATGGCACACTTGTGGATACGTTCTTCCGTACTTTTACGCTAGCAAACCACTTGGTGGATTCAAACATGACTATTTAAGGTAAAAGAACATTTACGTCATAGAGTCGTTTAAAACATTGTACAAAACGTAGTAAACTTTGGTTTGGTATTACATTTGTTTTGAAACATTTTTATCAAATTCATAAAATGTTATTGATTACAGTCTGTCAACCTGCGTATTTAAGTCAGCAATGGATATATTGTAAGTAAGCCAGATGTTTCTTATAAACTTTTAATTCTGCAAAGTCCATTCCTCTTTGTAACTTTTACAACCTCCAAATAATATCTTTACAATTTGTCGTTCTTAAAGGGGTTTTAAGTTTCAAAAATCTCTAGAACTTACAGTTACAGATACATCGTCGTATCCGGTTTGTTAAGCCCTACAGAGTTTATTGTAACCAGTTGTTAAAATCTAAATGCGCCAACAAACAGGTCTTTCCTCGAACCAATTAAAACTTTGAACATAAATGACACATATTGTCCCAAACCTTTTGGCTATGTAAAAATAAAGTGGTACCCAGGATAGTTAGTTATTTAAATATGCTGGTCCATGAGCAGTTTAGCCACGTTTCGAGTAATTTTGTTTGTGTTCAACTTTCTGGACATTCAGGATCTATCCCCGAATAGGATTAGAAAAGGTTTCAAACAAATTGTATTAGCTATTTTTCGAGGATTAGCGAACCGAAGTTTACCGGAGTCTTTTCACAAATGCTTCATTCCGTAGTTAAACAACACTGTTGTCGATTACCGTTATACTTCTTGTCCATTTCTTGTGATTCAATTTCTTGTCTATTATATTCTACGTGGAAATTAATAAATACGTTGTGAGAAATTCGAACCAATTACCCTCTACGGTAAATATGTAGGTGTTATCCCTTCCATTGTAAACAGGGTACCATTTCCGTTGGAAGTTCTAGGTCATGTTTTTTTTTGTGGTACAGCGCGTGTAAGCGGTCTACAAACATTTTCGCTAGCAGAGGAAAAACATCCGAGACTCTTTCTATTTGTTCAAAGTTGCTTTGGACTTATGATAAACTTTTCCTGTATCATGTTACAAATATATCAATTATATTATTACTTGTTCTTAACTAAACTGTTGATTCTTCCATGATGAAACCATTTATTCATTAACATATTTGAAAAGTTGATATTTACCGTTGTTCATTATATATAAAAGTAAGTTCGCTGAGCGAGGGAGATATCTTTTCTGTAGTGTGATCTTTGAGCATCTCAGGCGTTGTGATTGGGTCGTGGAACGATTCAAACATTTGTTCTTAAATGATGCCTTGTTCTGCGTTAACGCTGGGATATTCATACGTTAAAACGTTTGTGTTGGAAAGATTTATAATGATTTAAAGTAATCTGCAGTTAAAAAATTAGGAATTGTTATCGATATTCTGTTACATTATAATAATCTGTTAAACATATATTTTTCCTGTCCTTGGGTATAGTATTTTTTATTATTCTCTAAGAATACTTTATCTTTCTAAATCTGACTCATCTTATAATTTCTTTGGCTGATCTAAAACCGTTGGATCATCTGAACTTCATGCTATTCCGTCTTCTTGATTATGTTTTGCAATGTGAATACTTTAGTAGTACATTGATATTTGATTAATTTAACCAACTTGCCCGTGATATATGTGATATGTTGTTTGCCCTATCCTATTTTATGTTTTGCTGATTCAAGACTTAATGCATTTGT